GCCTATTTGCATCCATCACTTTGATTGATTTGAAATCTTAGTGATGTATTGTAGTCATTTGTTTCTGATTTTGGATTTTGAGATTCCAATGGTTAGATACTTAGATCCTTCGAAATCTGATCGGATATAGACACTGTTGGGTGATCTCACTATTGGATTTGATGAAGATGATTCAGTTTCATTTCCAAATTCCATGTTGGGGTTATTGCAGAACATTTCACAAGTTTGAACCCTTTTTCGTTGTCTGAATCTCTGTAGTTAAGGTGGATAGAGCTGTGAGCACTAGTATCTACTTCTTGCTTCCATCTGGGAGCGTCTCTCGTCTCCATCGCATACCAATGGCAGAAACTTGGCATTTCTATTTGGGTGAACCCATCACAGTAAGTTGAATCTTGCCATAACAGTGAACAAAACCACTTATATAGTTTGGTAATAATCGATGAAATCTTTGTTCTTGAATATGGCTTTCTTCTTGTTGCCTTGATCAGGTAGTGGAACTCTACGATGATGGTAAGTTGAAATTCACATGTCTTGGTCCTGACCTGATAGAAGGTGACCAGAAGCCTCAGTACACAGTCCCTCCAAACATTTGGTTTGGTTCGTTCCCTACAGAGGATGTTCATTTTTCTCACGACGGGACTCTGCTTAAAGCCGAGCCTAGAAACTCTGATGATCACTTCTCTCTTGTCGGCTGCACATGCGCTCCTGCTTTCCAATTTGAGGACTTTGAACTCGCTAAACGCTCTGATCTCTTATCACGGTTTCCTCAACACGAGTCGCTCATCACAATGCTTTCTTACCCTGAGTGAAAGGACCTTAGAAAGAGACCTTAATGGCTCAACGGTTTGGTAACTACTATAAGAAGATACTATGGTTATTTTGTTACTTCAACTATTTTCATGTGAACCATATGACGACGAGGTTGTAATTGTACTTTGATTTCACTTTTGTTCTCTCTACCTTCTGTTCTTCTGAATTGTGATTGATAAAATCGTATGCAATAATGAAAAGGCTCGAGTACTGAATAACAATATCATTCCAAAAACAGAGCAAAAGATTTATCAATGTCATCCGCATACACACCAACTAACATCATGACTTGTAATTTAAGGATCTTTAGCATTCTCCATCTTCAGGTTTTCTAATTTCTACAATGCCGCAATACACCGGTAGCGCGCCCTAATCGAGATCAAGGAACTCCATTCTTTTTCGCATTGTACCCTTTAACAGCATTTCTTCTTTCTCTGCTTTCTGAGCCTGAGTATACAGAAGAGTGTAATTGAGGAGTCAGTAGATTCCAAAAAACACCAAACCAAATCAAATCGACCGAAAATGGATTTGTGCAAGAAGCTCCCAAATCAAACAAACTTTGAATCAACAAGGGAGGGAAGTAAAGAGAAAATAGCACTAACCCTTTTGATCTCTGCTTCTGAAACTTGAATCATTTGAGCAGGAAGCTCTTCTTTTTCAGTGTCCTAAGAGCACACAAAAAACCCGATTCAACCGTCGAAATCATTTTAAAAGCGGAAATTTTACATTTGAGAAGCAAGAGGAATTGGTTTGTTTAGTGTAAAGTTTACCAATTCACCAATCAAGACAACATTCTCTCCACGGATTATGTATAGACCTAAGGGAATATCACAGTAGAGATCACCCACTATGACTCTTTCATAAGCTTCTTCTAAAACAGCATTAGCTTCAACAAAACCAAAAACAAACAATCAAACCACTTCAGAGATTTTTGATTTTTCAGTAAAAAAAGGAGAAAGAAACACAACAAGTACCGAATTGATCAAAAGACCGAAGTAAACCCATCAGTTTCCGACCATCACGAAGCAAGACAAGAAGTTTCTCTGCCACAAACAAAACAAGACATAAAAGAGACTTAAGAGATCGTTGAATCACATCTCCATCAATTATTTGGGAACAAAA